AACCACGGAACAAGCAGCAGCCATTAGTCTTCTACACTCAGAGAAGAAACGACAACAACTACAACCGACGCGATAAGCAGAATCGATATGACACAAGAGGTCTCACTGTCGTGCCGCCGTTCTGCCATAATTGTGAGACATCCGGACACTCCAAGATTAACTGCACGCGCCCTCGAGTTTATCGTCCAGCAAATCCGCAAGTCGCCTCAACTCAAGAGAATCCGCCAAGCCGCTCCTCTACACCTGCACGAGACACACCAAACATCATCAACTGCATGGTACGGATCGACAGCTGCAGACCCGAGTCACCACCCACTTACGCTCCAGACAAAGAAGAACTGCCACCGCCGCACTCATAAGGTCTTCAAGTCAACCCCACGTATGCTGCAGTTGCCAACGCCGAACCCACTGGACGAAACACCTGGTTCTTGGACAGTTGCTGCGGCCAACACATGTGTTCTTCCGGGCGCTTCGTGCAACGGGAGCGACGCCTCAACTGCGATGTCATCATCACCGTCGCCAACAACGAGAACCTGAAAACAAATAGACAAGGAGTGGTTCAACTTCAGTCAATGGAGACAAACGTCATACTACAACTCAACAAAGTTCTCATCGTCGACAACTTGGGATACAATCTACTAAGTGCCAGCCAGTTAATGACGAAGGGAATTCACCTGGAATGCGAGTCGGACGCCAACGAGTTTCGACTTTACCACGGGAAGTGCGGCCTCTTCATTGGTCGCGCTCTCTTGAAGTCGGGCGTCTTCGTACTGGACTTCGTCCCCGACCGCGGAACTGCCGACAGCGACGGCATCGTGTCATTCGCTGCCTGGACGCATCCGCCAGATCTTGACCCCGACTTCACTCCAGACGGATTCTGGTACTCCAACACCATCCCTGCAGCAGAGAGAACACGAGCACTAGCAGCCATCCAACAAGAACGACAAGTACCAGCAAGCGTCCCTCACCCGACATCACCTGCAGTAGCAGCAGCAGGACCCAGCCGTGCGCCATCACCAGCAATCCGAGGACTGCCATCCCAAGCAGATCAACTCATGCCAATCGCCCGAGGAGTCTGCCGCAGTCCCGCCATGGTCGTCGCGTTCTTCTCCAACGCCGACATGTACCAGCACTCACCCGGCCATCGCGCTCCCGACGACATCTGGCATCAACGCCCCGGACACCCTGCAAACAGCACAGTACTACAAACCATACAAGCCAGAGTATTAGAAAAGGACGCTCTTCTCACAACGAGCGGCCAGGAGCTTCGACGACCCCGTGCACGATGCTTCACGTGTCCCGAGGCTGATCTTTCCCACCAACCTTTTCCGTCGCACCACAATCCAAGAGCACCTGCATATGCACCGATGGGAAAAGTCTACAGTGACATCTTAAATATGCCTCGAGATGACAGTGAAGCAGAGTACAACTATGTCATCACGTTCATCGACGCAGCAACACGATACGTCTGGCACTACAACCTCAAGACACGAGATCAAGCGTTCGAAGCCTTCACAACGTGGCTCCCCATCGCTGAACGAGAATCGGGCTCGCAACTCAAAAGTTTCCAGTCAGACGGAGCACTGGAATACCAGTCACAAAGATTCAGGAACTACTTGGTAGAAAGAGGCATAAGACGCCTGGTATCCCTGCCCTACGCTCACCAGCAGCAGGGGGTCGCAGAAAGGATGAACACCTTGCAGACGATGATGCGGAAGCTGCTCCTGGGGATGAGACTGCCCAACACGCTTTGGCCTGACGCGATGACGCATGCAGTCCACCTGCACAATTTGCTGTCCTCGTCATCATTTCCCAACAGGGCATCACCACACCTACTGTGGACAGGAAAACAGGGCAGCACAAAATTACTTCGAGTCTTCGACTGCATGGTACAGTACAGACCCCACACAGCCCGAGCAGGTCGATTCTCTCAACAAGTACGGTGGGGACTACACCTCGGCATCGCAAAACATTTCCAAGCATGGAAACTTCTAGACATCCAGGACAAAACCACAGTGGCCTCACGTGATGTGATTTTCTACGAGCGACTGATGCTGCAACATTACCTGGACAACATCGCCAACAAAGACGACCCCACCGACGACTTCGAGGGCCATCGATCCTTCGCTGACCGTGCTGCCGAAGCTGACGCAGCAGAAGAAAACGTACCTCAAGCCTCGGAAGTTGCCGGACCACTCCCTTACTGCTCCGTGCCCGTTCCACTCGACGACGACAATCCTCTCGATAGTAACAATCTTGACACCTATTACCACTTCGCTGACCAGGGATACGCTACACCTCAACCGGTCGACACAAATGTCTCTGAACCCATCGGACCAAATTTCTTACCTGATCCTGAAAATGGTGACGAATCAGCTTATCCCGCGAATGACAACTCCCCTCGACACACAACCACGGGCCTGCAGATACTTGGACTATGGGTCGTCGTCCAGAGCCCGCAGCCGCCGTCACCGCGCGAGCCAACGACTCTGTCGCAGGCTCTGGGGGGGGAACACAAGGCAAAGTGGAAGGAAGCAATGGAAAAAGAACTGAAGGCCCTGCAAGACCGAAATACGTGGAAGCTGGTACCTGCAACAAAAACCAACGGAAAGAATGTGCTCTCGGGGAAATGGGTGTACCGCATCAAGACTAATGCGGATGGCTCCGTCAACCGCTTCAAGGCTCGCTGGGTCGTACGAGGTTTCGACCAGCGATACAGAACCGACTACACGGAGACAATTGCCCCAGTCTCCCGACATACCTCCTTTCGCATTCTGCTCGCCGTCGCGGCCACGAAAAGACTACCACTGTGCCAAATCGATGTCACCAACGCCTTTCTGTACGCACCTGTGGACGCCGAAATCTTCGTCGAGCAGCCCCACGGATTCAGGGATTTTACCAGCCCCACAAAAGTATGCCAGCTGGTAAAATCCCTCTACCGAATCAAACAAGCCCCGCGGCTCTGGCAGCAACACCTTCACGACCGCCTCGTCAGGATCGGTTTCTCGCAGCTGCCGCACGATCAAGGGATGTACCGACTACAGAAGAGGGAGGACTTCGTCCTACTCATCATCTACGTCGATGACCTGCTCTACGTCGGCTCCACTACCGACGTCGTCACCTGGTTCGAAGGGGAGCTAAAGAGTGACTTAACACTCACGGTGTCAAACACCGTGAGCCAGTACCTACGTTTGAACGTCGTCGAAGACGACTCGGCGTTCTACCTACATGCCGGAAAGTACGCAGGCGTCGTCGCGAAGAAATTCGGACTAACGTCGGTCAAAGTCGCGACTCCCTACCACTACGGGAACAACGGCAACACCTCCGCAAAGCTCCTTGCGAAGCAAATCCAGGAATATCAACAAAAGCTCGGCTGCCTACTGTTCGCAGCAGTAACCTGTCGACCGGATCTATCCTACAGCGCGAGCCAACTGGCGACACACTTGAAGCAGCCGGAGCAAGAGGATCTCGCGGAGCTAAATCGGGCACTGCTCTACTTCGTCTCTACAACAACAACCGGACTTACCTACAGCAAAGTAACGCCATCGTCCGTACAACTACTCGGTTATGTCGACGCCGACCACGCGGGAGATAGGGAGAATCGTCGCTCCGGAACGGCATATCGGGACTATCTCCTGGCAATCGAGCAAGCAGGAACTAATTGCGCTATCCTCGGCTGAAGCGGAATACATCGCTGTCTGCTCTGCAACCAAAGAGGGACTTCACCTACGGGAGCTGCTCGAGGAAGTGAAAATTGCGTCCATGCCCGCCTTCTCGTTATTCTACGACAACCAATCCGCGATCAAAATCGCGAACAAAAACGGGTTCGCCAACCGAACCAAGCACATCGCCCTGCGGTATTTCTTCGTCAAGGATGAGATCGCGAAGGGGAGACTTCAACTCAGTTACTGCCCCACGACAGAAATTGCTGCAGATTATCTGACGAAGAAACTGGCGAAGGCAAAGTTCGATTACAGCATGCTGCTGACCAGGCAGATAAACGCCACCGAATCCAGACACGTCAGCACTCCAGAAACGAAGGGGAGTGTTGGAAAACACCTCGAAGACTTAAGCGCTGAAGTGTAACACTACACTCGAAGAAAAGTCGTATCGAGTACACGAGTCAACGGAGGTTGGGCGAAAGAACACGAAATGACGAAGGGAGTCGAAGGGTTGCAACAGGAGGTTGCGACTGACCGTTGCGACTGCAAGGGTGGTAACCGAACCAACGATCGAGTCGCTGCGCGACTCGATAACCGTTTCTTCAACTGTATTCTACAACTGCTCTACTTCCTATTTTCTATATATTCCTGTATGCTTGCCTTTTTTAATCAATCACTTGCTCTCACATACTAAGTGCAAGGGTTCAACTGCTCAACACTTCCGCTGCACTACTCTAACACCTTGTACAAGTGGGACTCAGTCTTTGGAAAGATCCTAAGGGTTTTTCTCAACCCTACAATAGTGAACCCTGGGAAATCAGTAAAAGGTATTAAATTATATAAGTTATTATATACGTGTAGGCTTGGTAGATGTTACTGAACATTACTGTAGAGGGTACAACACCCCTCCTTGTATCCCTCTCTCTTCTTTCCTAGTTCTCTTTTCTCTCGACATTCTCGCCTACCTCCTAGTGTTGAGTGACCCGCTGGGGTTGACCTTGAGATCCTCGGGGAAGGGCCACAGGTGCAGAGCCTGGGGGGCTATGGGCGCACTTACCCGCTATTCAACAATCCCTTTTAACCCAGTGGTTAGTGACTGGGTTTCTGACATGGTATCAGAGCCAAAGGTCTTGGGTTCAACTCCCAGTGCCAGCGCTGCAGAGGCGCTTGTGTCTTCCACCTATCCCAGCGGGGGGGGGGGGTGTTGAGTGACCCGCTGGGGTTGACCTTGAGATCCTCGGGGAAGGGCCACAGGTGCAGAGCCTGGGGGGCTATGGGCGCACTTACCCGCTATTCAACAAGCCCTTTTAACCCAGTGGTTAGTGACTGGGTTTCTGACACCTAGATCCAGATCTCACGCCATATTCATGGCTTCACCTATTCCTACCTAGCCTAACTTCTCGACAAAAGGTTCCTGTACCAACCCTGAGCCAGGCGTTCCAGGCCAAGGGGAAGGATGACGTGCAGAGGTTGTCTGATACGGACGGAGTACCAGGAGCACAGCTGCTCAAGCGGCGGTTTGGGATTACCATAGATGCTCTCGTTCCCAACTCTCTCCCAACTCTCTCCCAATGCTCGTTCAAGCATCGACTGCCTCCAGCTAGCAATGACATGTCCTCAGATTATGCATGCACGTGAGGTGCAAACACTGACCATGGCACGGCTTTCACTGGCTATCCCTGACTGTTCAGGATGCCTAAAATCCTATCCGCTGCTCTGGATTCTACACAAGCAATCTTGTGGAAACGCATAGAACCCTCCTTTCGCAATGGCCTTGTCGATGCTCTCTCCTTGAGTGTTGAGGTCGCCCTTGAGCAGGCGATGGCGTAGCTTGTGGGAAGCGGCAAGGTCCCCTTGCTGGATGGCATCAAGGAGGCGGTGCACGGACGAGCCAAAGACGAGCACCGTGCTGCCCACGCCCGCATACCTGGGAGGGGGGGACGGAGGAAGTGTGTGTGGGGTAGGGATGTCACAAGGCAAAGAAGAGGCAAAGTAACAGCAGTCACACGGCATGTGAAGTCGCCACCCTCCCAGCCCGCAGCACCCCCCAAGGCAGCACCACCCCCAGGGCAGCAGCACCCCCAAAAGAGACCCCCCCAGGCAACAACCCCAGGACAGCCAGCACCCCCCAGGGCAGCACACCTCCCAGGGCAGCACACCTCCCTGGGCAGCACACCTCCCAGGGCAGCACACCTCCCAGGGCAGCACACCTCCTAGGGCAGCACACCTCCCAGGGCAGCACACCTCCCAGGGCAGCACACCCCCCAGGGCAGCACACCTCCCAGGGCAGCACACCTCCCAGGGCAGCACACCTCCCAGGGGAGCACGCCTCCCAGGGCAGCACGCCTCCCAGGGCAGCACGCCTCCCAGGGCAGCACACCTCCCAGGGCAGCACACCTCCCAGGGCAGCACACCTCCCAGGGCAGCACACCTCCCAGGGCAGCTGACCCCCCAGGGTAGCACACCTCCCAGGGCAGCACACCTCCCAGGGTAGCACACACCTCCCAGGGCAGCACACCTCCCAGGGCAGCACACCTCCCAGGGCAGCACACCTCCCAGGGCAGCACACCTCCAAGGCAGCACACCTCCCAGGGCAGCACACCTCCCAGGGCAGCACACCTCCCAGGGCAGCACACCTCCCAGGGCAGCACACCTCCCAGGGCAGCATACCTCCCAGGCAGCACACCTCCCAGGGCAGCACACCTCCCAGGGCAGCACACCTCCCAGGGCAGCACACCTCCCAGGGCAGCACACCTCCCAGGGCAGCACACCTCCCAGGGCAGCACACCTCCCAGGGCAGCACACCTCCCAGGGCAGCACACCTCCCGGGGCAGCACCCCCAAAAGAGCACCCCCCAGGCAGCAACCCCAGGGCAGCACCCCCCCTAGGGCAGCATTCCCCCAGGGCAGAAACCACCCCCAGGGAAGCAACCCCCCCCTCCCCCCTGGGCAGAACCCCCCCCCCAGGGCAGTATCCCCCCCGGGCAGCACCCCCCCTAGAGCAGCACACCCCCCAGAGCAGCAACCCCCCAGGGCAGAAAACCCCCCCAGGGAAACAACCCCCCCCGCCCAGGGAAGAACCCCCCCCCAGGGCAGTATCCCCCCAGGGCAGCACCCGCACAGAGCAGCACCTCCTGTGGCCGGCCAGCAGGTGCGCCATGTTGCCGTTGTTGTTGGCCAGCAGTACCGCCGCCCTCCGGCTCATCTCATAGTCCACCGCCGCCAGCAACGTCGCGCGCCCCTCCACCCCCGCCAGCGCCCCTCCCCCCTCCGCACCGCCCCTCACCTCTCCACCCCCGCCCCACGCCCCATCCCCCTCATCCTCGTCGTCGTCCGCCTGCCCCCCCGTGTGCGCGGGGGCGGTGGCGGGGGTGAGGGAGCGTGCGAGGGAGAGCTTGTCGGCCGTGAAGGGGAAGGCAGCCAGCAGCGGGCGCAGCGCCGCGGGGCCGCCGTGGAGCGCACCCGACGCGATGTAGAGGCGCGTGGAGGGGGGGAAGCCCAGCGCCTGCAGGGCGAGAGCCACCTGGGGAACAAGGGGGGGGGGACGGGGGGAGGAGGGTGCAGGGTTGAGGCACTGTGTGGCTGTCTGTGCGGAGGTGGAACGCCTGCTGCCCTGATGCCCACTGCAGCTCCATGTGCACAGTGGCTCACGGCATGGCATGGGTGAGACAGGGCGTGACGATGCACCTGCCTGGGAGGGTGTGGCGATGCACCTGCCTGGGAGGGCGTGGCGATGCATCTGCCCTTGGCCCTCTGCTTGCCCGCGTCCATCGCTGGCAGGTTCACCCAGCGCTGCCGGATGGACGCCAACAGCGCCCTCTCCTCTGCGCCCCCACCGTACTCGCACCCCGTGAACGCCAGCATGTCCGGCTCATACCTGCCAGGGCGCACGGCGGGCGGGGCATGCGTGGCCCAGGCAGAAACACGTGGGATGAATGGATGACGTCATGTGTAGTCTCGGATAGGAGGTGCGATGAGACATTTGAAACACAGCCGATGGCGGAAGACAACACTGTGGCGGCTGCATCATGTGGTGAGTACAATGATGCAGGATGCAGCATGGCAAATATTACGGAGCCCAACTCCAAGCACAGCTCACCTGAGATGGATCGCCACGTACTTGACTGCCCCATCCCTCCGCTCCGCCTGTTCCCTCTGCCCCCCTTGCCCTTGTGCTGCACCCACGCCACCACCCCCTGCCTCATCAGCAGCAGCAGCGCCAGCAGCACGAGCCGCGTGATGGTCGGTGGAGATGGCAGCGGAGGCGGCGAGGGCAGCGGGGTGGGTGAGGGCGTGGGTGAGGCGGGCCACGGCTCGAGTGACGGGCAGCACGAAGCGCAGCGCCTCGTAGTTGGCCCGGCACCGCAGCTGGGGGCGCCCATGGGGGGGGGAGGTAGAGTGGGTGAGAAGCTACGTGGGTTACCTGGCAGCAGTCAACCCAAAGACCCTGAGGCTGGTCAGAAAGGGCATGTGCATGTGTGCGTGTTGGGTGACCCAGCGCTGAGGTGGTGAGTGCGGCTGAGGCGGCGGTACCTTCTGCAGGGCGGCAGGGAGGTGGTCGTGCAGGCGCGAGTCGAAGTGGTTCAGCTTCACCACCTGCGCCCTCCTGCCGTGTGGCGCCACACAGTGAGGCGGGGGCGTTAGGTGGGAGACAGCAGCCAGAGGATGGAAAGGAAGAAGAGCAACGCCTAGGAACATGGTGGCTTGCTCTCATGTGCTTCCAACGCACAAGCGCCATCAGCAGAGAGCCAGCATCCCACTGACCTCATCACGCGCCTGACGTGTGTCTGGTAGTACTCCGCCGTGGACCCGCGCGGCACGGTGCGCTCCAGGGGCGCGCGGCCTCTGAGTGCGGAGGGCAGGCGGTCCACCACGCGCACCCAGGGGGCCAAGGTGCGTGCAAAGTGCCCCGCGTCAAACACGTCCGAAAACGTGCTGGGGGGGGAGAGAAGGGGGCGGGGGGGGTGTTGAAGGTTGAAAGAAGAAGGCGCCCTTGGCAGTGCTTATGCAGGCGCCCTTGGCAGTGCTTATGCAGGCGCCCTTGGCAGTGCTTATGCAGGCGCCCTTGGCAGTGCTTATGCAGGCGCCCTTGGCAGTGCTTATGCAGGCGCCCTTGGCAGTGCTTATGCAGGCGCCCTTGGCAGTGCTTATGCAGGCGCCCTTGGCAGTGCTTATGCAGGCGCCCTTGGCAGTGCTTTGGCAGGCGCCCTTGGCAGTGCTTATGCAGGCGCCCTTGGCAGTGCTTATGCAGGCGCCCTTGGCAGTGCTTATGCAGGCGCCCTTGGCAGTGCTTTTGCAGGCGCCCTTGGCAGTGCTTATGCAGGCGCCCTTGGCAGTGCTTATGCAGGCGCACTTGGCAGTGCTTATGCAGGCGCCCTTGGCAGTGCTTATGCAGGCGCCCTTGGCAGTGCTTATGCAGGCGCCCTTGGCAGTGCTTTTCCCTTCTCTTCTCGCTCAATGCCCATCTCTCTCCTGCCATCAGCCTCTCCTGCCATCAGCCTCGCCTGCCATCATCTCCCACTGGCGACTCACCTGCCGTCCGCCCACCAGGAGGAGTTGTCCAGCAGCGGCAGCATGAGCGCCGCCCCCAACAGCCTCGCCACCACCACCGCGTCGCAGATCTGGCGCCCACAAGGGGGGGAGGTGGGGAGGAAGAGGGGGAACGGGGAGCCACAGGGATGAGGGAGGGGCGGAGGGAGAGAAGCCAGCGAGAGAGCAAGAGGTGCGAAGAAGGTGGGTCATGGCGAGGCAAGAGGGGAAGGGAGCAGGCAGCGGAATGAACGACCCCCACTCCCACTGCAGCAGGCCGCTTGTGGGTGGCTGAGCCCACCCCGCTCACTCACCCCTGCGCGCATCTGGTTGAGCCCCCCTGCGAGCTGCACCATCAGATAGCCCCCCTCGTCCGCCCCGTCTGCACGTGCCACGCGCACAGCACAGCTCAGCACAGCTCAGCACAGCTCAGCACAGCACAGCACAGCACAGCACCGCACAGCACAGCACAGCACAGCACAGCACAGCACAGCACAGCACAGCACAGCACAGCTCAGCACAGCACAGCGTAGCACAGCTCAGCACAGCACAGCACAGCACAGCTCAGCACAGCACCGCACAGCACAGCACCGCACCGCACAGCACAACACAGTACATGGGGGCGGGTAAGCAAGGGAGGGGGGGCAGGAAAGGAGGAGGCAGGAGGTGAGCGAGCAAGGGAGAGAGGGAGGGGAAATGAGAGGAGCACACAGCAGCTCATGCCCGCATCCCAACACGCCCAATCCCACCCAAATGGACTCCAAAATTCTCTGTCACCACTCAACCCCCCCCCCCCCCCCCCAGCAGTGACCCACCCATGGCAGTGACCCACCCATGGCAGTGTGGTGCGCGTCCTCGCCCCCCACACACCCCCTCCACCTCATCCCCCCAAACACCGGCCACCCATCCTCGCCCACGCGCCCCGCCTCGCCGCCCTCGTCTGCCGGCAACTGAAGGCAAGGGGCGAGCAGAGGAGGAGGGAACGGGGAGGAGGGGCGGGGAAGGCAGAGGAGGGAGAGGTTTGAAACAGAGTCATGCAACGGAAAGAGGGGGCAGCGGGAGCCAAACCACTCCCAACCAGCGGGAAAGCACTTGCTTCTAATCCCATGCGGGACCCATGGGGGCAGCAGAGATGTAACGCCACCCCATGGCCACGCTTGGCAGTTGGAAGTAGGCCGCCTCTCCACTGACGACACAATGGAAAGCTCGCCCGCCCTGCTGCCCTGCTGCCATTGCGGGTGACACGCGCGTGTGCATGTGTGCATGTGTGCATGTGTGCATGTGCTGGGCGAGGGAGAGGAGGTCAGAGCAAGTGTGGCGCAGAGCAGGGGGGCGGGGAGGGGGCGCGAGTGACCTGGAGGCGGGCGTCCTCGTGTGGGCGCGCGGAGGGCGCGAGGAAGGGCAGGTCGGCGCGGAGGAGCGCCACGCAGCACGCCGCGCCCAGAGCTGCCAGCAGCGCCGCCTTCAGCGCGCGCTGCTGTCGCCACCTCGCTGCTGGGGGGGGCCACGCGGACAGGCGGAAGAGGGAAGCGGACGATGTGGGTGGGACTGGGAAGAACACGGATGGCGTTGGAGGCCATGGGTCAGATGTGGAGGAGCCGGAGCGGCGAGCACGGAGCAGGGATGGCACGTGAAGCAGCGCGGCCACGAGCAAAACAGAGCGCGTCGCCTTCCTGCCACTTCCTACCGACCCGAATACCAGCGTACCGCCACCAATGCTACCGCCACCCCAGCAGCGACCCTACCAGTCCCGGGAGCAGGCGACGCAGCGCGAGCACCGCTCGGCCCGCGCCGCCTCCTCGCCACCGTCGCCGCTGCCGTGGGCGACGACATCCGGCGCTGCGGCGAGACGGCTTAGACGGCGGACAGCGGCGACATGGATGGCAGTGCCGTGCGGCGGCTTCGACTCGCGCCTGGGACCAGTCTAAGGGCTCTGATTCGAGGCGGCGTGAGGACGATGAAGCGGGCGTGGAGCGGTCGTCCCCGAGGCGGCTAACACGGTCGGCGCCGACCGTCAGTGGCGCTCCTGAGACGGCTTGAATGGCGTCGGCGTGGGCATGGTGGCTGTGATCCCACGCGGCCTAAGCAACGCCGCCGTGCACGTCTGCAGCTCTCATCGCCGGCTGTATGATTCGCCCGACGAACACACGACTCGCGCCTCGAGCGAATCTGCTTGCAACGCCTTCACGGCCGGCCTACTCCCGTAATCGGTATGGGTACGCACGTCCCGAAAAAGAAGCTAGTTGGATTCTGTGAATGCTGTGGTGGAGTCGGGGAAGGTGACGCGAGGAGGGTGGACCGTGCGATCGCCGCTCGTGCGCGAGCACGGATCTGAGCACGAATGGCGAGGGACTGCCAGTCCCAATCCAAGGGTCACAAATCCGCCTCGGTGTTTGCGGGTGATGAAATCAATGTCGGCCGAAGTGCTCCATACTCGATACCCGATACTCAGTACACGCGATAGCGGTCTTCGTTTTTCCGCTTCAGCATATGCAAAAGTCAGCCAGACTAAAATCTGCGGATAATCGACCTGCTTGCCCCTTTCCCCGCTGGCTCCCACAAAGCCCCACACACACGCCCATCTCCACCACAAATACCCACCACACGGCAGGCTAGAAAGGTCGAGAGCGTCGCCACTCCCGCCTGCCATCACCGCAGCAGCGCTACGCCCGGCGCCATCGTGCCAGTGACGCCCGGCCTTGCTCGTCGTTGCCATCCCCGCCTTTTCGCCGCCTCCTCGCCGCCTCTGGTTTTCCGCGCTGCGCCCCCCTCGCTGCGGATTTGTACAGCGGAACGGCGCTCGGTGCACTGCGCTGATTGCTGGCGGATCTTCGGCCTTCCCGCCCCCATGGCGTCAGTGCTCCGCGCGCGCGTGCTCTCCGGCGCGCTCCGCCTGCGCGCCGCTGCGCCCAAGGCAGCGGCGAAGGGCGCTAAGAAGGGGAAAGGCGACGCCGCTGCTTCAGGTGGGGCGGCGAGACGGTTGATGCGTGCAGCAGCGTGAGAGGGCTTGCGCCATCAAGTGAGGAGCGGGGGACACCGCCCCATCGTCGCATGCCCAACCCCACCCCGTTACCCCTCTCTCTCCCCCCCCCCTCCAGACGCCGCCCGCGCGTCGTCCGTGCCGGCGGAGGTGCGCGCGGCGACGGTGGTGGGCGGCAACATCCTCAAAACAGGCTCCGACCCCAACGTGCTGCCCGACAGGTGAGGGCCACAACGGGGACGCGGGAAGAGGAGGGGCGCCATGGAAGGGGCGTGAGGGGAGGGGAAGAGCGTCCTTGCTGGAGCAGCCGTGCTCGTTGCCGTGCTTGTCTCCATTCTCCATGCCATCTGCTTCAATCAAGTCGGCAGCCTCATACACCTCATGCGCCGCCCCGTGCCTCATACACCTCATGTGCCGCCCCGTGCCTCCCCCTTGCTTTGTGCAGCGAGTACCCCGAGTGGCTGTGGACGCTGCTGGACCGCAAGGCGCCACTGAGCGAGCTCAAGAGAAAGAGAATCGAAGACATGGGCATGGGGGAGGTGAGACATGCATGGCCGAGGTGAGATATGCATGGCCGAGGTGAGACATGCATGGCCGAGGTGAGACATGCATGGCAGAGGTGAGACATGCATGGCAGAGGTGAGACATGCATGGCAGAGGTGAGACATGCATGGCAGAGGTGAGACATGCATGGCAGAGTTGAGACATGCATGGCATGGATGTCGCAATGGTACCTGTACTGTGCACTATGGAAGGGGCATGTACATGCCAGATGTGCAAGCTTGGTGCATGCAATATGTGTGACGGCACTATATGCATGGCATGTTGCCAAATGTGGTGTGTGTGTGTGTGTGCATTAAACTGTGTGGTGTGCGGTGTGGCGTGTGAGCAGTTGGAGCGCCTGGTGAAGTTGGACAACCGGGACAGAATACGAGCCACCAACGCCACCAGGGCCAAGGCATGAGCTGCATGCACCAGGGCCAGGGCATGAGCTGCATGCACCAGGGCCAGGGCATGAGTTGCATGCACCAGGGCCAGGGCATGAGCAGCATGCATCAGGGCCAGGGCATGAGCTGCAAGCCTGAATGAACAATGGCATTGCGACGACCTCGTTCTCACTCTTACGCACCCCTGGAGGCTGGAGCCCTCAGGGCAAACTCTCTAAAAAGTGGGCAGTGCGCCCCTCATGGCTGAGCCAAGAGGACCCTCTCAGCAGGGCTTTGAAAAAAGAGCATCCTGGGCTCTATGGTCAAAGCTTTTAAGTTTTAACACTACGTACTACCGTAAAACCCCGGATATAAGACCGGTTTTTCTAAGTACCCACTGGGTCCCATTGGCGGGGGGGTACTTAATTATGGTATTCGACTAATAAGACCAACCATTTTCGCTCCGTGCTATAAGACGTTAGTTTAGACTGTCAACTTATACATATTATCTATGTAGAAGTTATAGGCTAGACTGAGGTATGCTTCTAGTGAGTACAACCAACTAGTATTTGTTCTAGGTTTCCACCTCTAGTAATCATTCGTTTCTACGTTAACATGGTATCACGCTTAGGTTAGGATCCCCCCGCCTACCGCTTCCGCCCGTCGCGCCTCCTAGGCCCCGTCGCGCCCCCTAGGCCCCGTCGCGCCCCCCCTGGGCCCCGTCGCGCTCGTTAGGCCCCGTCGCGCCCCCCCTGGGCCCCGTCGTGCCCGCTGGGCCCCGTCGCGCCTCCTAAGCCCCGTCGCGCTCCCCCTGGGCCCCGTCGCGCCCACTGGGTCCCGTCGCGACCCCTAGGCCCTAACGCGCCCCCGCTGGGCCCCGTTGCGCCTCCTAGGCCCCGTCGCGCCCCCCATGGGCCCCGTCGAGCCCGCTGAGCCCCGTCGTGCCTCCTAGGCCTCGTCGCGCCTCCTAAGCCCCGTCGCGTCCCCCCCCTCTGGGCCCCGTCGCGCCCGTTCGGCCCCGTCGCGCCCCTCCTAGGCCCCGTCGCGCCCGCTGGGCCCCTTCGCGCTTCCTAGGCCCCGTCGCGCCTGCTAGGCCCCGTCGCGCCCCCCCTGGGCCCCGTCGCGCCCGTTAGGCCCCGTCGCGGCCCCCCTGGGCCCCGTCGTGCCCGCTGGTCCCCGTCGCGCCTCCTCGGCCCCGTCGCGCCCCCCTGGGCCCCGTCGTGCCCGCTGGGCCCCGTCGCGCCCCTTAGGCCCCGTCGCGCCCGCTGGCCCCTGTCGCGCCTGCTGTTAGCGCTCGCCCGCCTGGCCTCCTCCTAGTGCCGCTCGGCCTCCTCCTAGTGCCGCCCGGCCTCCTCCTAGTGCCGCCCGGCCTCCTCCTAGTGCCGCCCGGCCTCTTCCTAGCGCCGCCCGGCCTCTCCTCAGCGCTGCCCGGCCCCTCCTCGTGCCCGACCGGCCCCAGCAGCACCAGCCTGGCCCCTCCCAGCACCAGCCCGGCCCTAGAGCACCTGCCCGCCTCCCCTGCTCGGCCTGCCGTGTCCTCTCGGGCCCTGTGTCTTCTGCTTGCCTGCGCTGGGACGCCTAGCTGCTGCCCTACTGGAGAGTGCTGCCGCCGTGTCCCCGCGCCGCTGTGCTCCTGTGCCGCTGAGGAGCTGTGCTGCTGTGCCGCTGTGTCGCTGAGGAGCTGTGCCGCTGACCCTGCACGATGGCTGACTTTGTGCTCCGCCTGGACGCTGAGGGCCACGCGGTTGACTTCGCCGCCTGGCTCTCCGATCTTCGCCGCCAGCTTACAGGTCAGCGCCAGGATGGCCACTCTCTGGTTGTCCATGCTGATGGCTTGCTCCCCCGTCCCCCTGCACCTACTCCCCTCCCTGCTGACCCCTCCTCTGATGACCGTGAGGCTTTCTCTACTGCTGCGCTAGCCTGTGCGGTCTGGGACTCACGCGATGCAGTAGCTCAGGTTGCTATTAGTCACGCCCTCCCTGTGTCTGAGCGCTCGCGTTTTGCTACTGTTGAAACGGCCAAAGCTTATTTAGACGCCGTTATTGCTCGCTATTCCACCCCTGCCTCCGCTTCTGCTGGCCGCTTGCTCTTTCCGATGCTGTTCCCAGACCTGGCTGCCTTCCCTACTGTCGCAGATTTTGCCACTCATTTGCGTGCCCTAGAGACTCGCTATCGCACTGCCAGCACTGCTGCCCAGCTCACTGCGCTCCCCCCTCCTTTCTGCATGACGCTCTATTTTATCGCTATGCGCCTGCCAGACCGCCTCGCTAGTGCTCGCGACCACTTTCTTAGCCAGCACCCGGGTGACCTCACCCTGACCGCCTTTGTCGACACCCTCACTGAGATCGAGACTCGCCAGCGCACTATCGCTCAGTCGAGCGGTGCGCCGGCAGTCTCTATCTTTCACGGTTGTGCCCCATCCCCGTGCACGTTCACTGACGTTTCGGCTGCGGTCGCCACGGCGACCCCTCTTACCGAGACGGCTGCTGCTGTCCACCCGCAGCAGCGCTCGCGTCGCGGTGGCCGTGGCCGCCAGGGAGGTAGGGGTGGTGACGCAGGTGGTAGTGGTCGTGGTGGTGGTGACGGTAGTCCGCCAGAGGGGACTACCACCGGTGGGCAGGAGCAGCAGTCCCAGCAGCAGCAGGACCAGCCCCAGCCGCAGCCGCCGTCCCAGCAGCACCCGCCGCAGCCGTGGGCTCGTCTCCCGCCTGGTTGGCCCGGCACCTCCGGAGGCGGTGGCCGTGGTGGCGGCCCGCGCAGCTTGGCGTCTACCAGCGGCTCCAGTGCTGTGACCTGCCAGTACCAGCTTCAGACCGGGCCTCTCCGCGGCACTCTGTGCCGCCGCCCGCACCCGACCGCCCACTGTTTCCGCCGCCTCGACGATCTTTTTCGTCGTCGCTTTGGCCCGGCCCCGGACCTCCCTGACTGGCACAGCCTGCTCCGCCAGGGCGTGCCGATCTTTGAGTTAGACATGGATCAGATAGGTGCTGCTTTGCATGCTTTGTATGCTGACGCTTCTAGTGTTGATGGATCTTACTACCATGTGTACTCTAGTTTAGGTGTTTCACCCTTGTGTAGCTTAGCTTCCCCTGCTGCGACAGGCGTAGGACTGCCTAGGTTGCCTAGTCTAGTCGCTGCACCGGCTCCGTCCGCGGCCTCCGCCACTGCGTCGCTGTCCTTCACTCTCGACTCTGGTGCTTCTGCCTGCTTCTTCCGCGACCGTTCCACGCTCACGCCGCTTGCTGCACCTGCTGTTGTCTCTCTCGCTGACCCCTCTGCGGGTCCGGTCGTCGCGCGCAGTTCTACGTCCCTTCCCTGTCCGGCAGTTCCCTCGGGCTCCCTTACTGGCCTCCACGTTCCCTCGTTCTCCAGGAACCTGGTTGGTGTCGGCTGTCTCCAGGACCTCGGCGTCACCACCACGTTCCCCGGGCACGAGCGGTTCGCTGTCTGTTCTGAGGCTGTCTCAGGTTCCCCCCTTGCGACGTTCCCCCGGGACCCGGTGTCCGGTCTGTTTACCCTACACACCGCTTCCCCCCCGGTTGGTGCGTCCTCCCAGGTCGCTGCAGCTTGCTCGTGTCGGTCCCTCACTCACCCCTCCCTTCTCTGGCACCACCGCTTAGGTCACCCTGCTCTCCCGCGTCTGCGTCACATGTCCCAGCACGGTCTTGTCTTAGGTCTCCCCGCGTCACTCCCTGCCCTTCCTCCCTCGACTGCGCCACCGTGCACGCCTTGCGTCGAGGGTCGGCTCCGCCGTGCTCCTCACTCCTCCTCGCTGCGTCCTGCTACTGCCCCCCTTCAGACCCTGCACTTGGACGTTTGGGGCCCTGCCCCCGTCCCCGGACCGCGCGGTGAGCGCTACTTCCTTGTGCTCGTTGACGACTACACGCGCTACACCACGGTGTTTCCCCTGGAGCGGAAGGCCGACGTGCCCGACGTTCTTCTCCCGTGGGTTGTAGCTGCGCGTCTCCACCGCGGTCTCCCCGTGTTGTGTCTCCACTCCGACCGTGGCGGCGAGTTCGCCTCTGGTCGGCTTGGACAGTTCTGTCGTGCGGAGGGCATCACCCAGTCGTACACGTTGCCGGACTCGCCACAGCAGAATGGGGTTGCTGAGCGCCGCATCGGTATGGTCATGGAGGTCGCCCGTACCTCCATGATCCATGCCGATGCCCCCCATTTTCTGTGGCCGTTCGCTGTTCGCTACGCGGCTCACCAGCTTAACCTGTGGCCACGCTCCCAGCGGCCGCAGGTTTCGCCGACCCTCCTTTGGACCGGGTCCCCCGGTGACGCGTCTGCGTTCCACGTCTGGGGCTGCCTTGCTCACGTTCGTGCCTCTGGCACGGACAAGCTCACTGCCCGCACTGTCCCCTGTGTCTTCCTCGGTTTCCCCCTGGACTCGTCTGACTGGCTTTTCTACCACCCGCCGTCTCACCGCTTCCTCCACTCTCGTGACGTCACCTTTGACGAGTCCGTCTCCTTCTACCGCCGCTTCCCTCACCGAGGTCTCCCAGTTGCCCCCCCCCTTTTCCTTGCTCCCTCTCCCCCGGTAGCCCCTGCCCCTCTCCCGCCTCGTCCTGCCCCGTCTGGTGTCTCCCACGTCACTCCCCTCCCGTCGGTTGTCCCCGTTGAGGAGTCTGCTGACTCTGGTGGTTCCCCCGGTCCGTCCTTGCAGCGTCCCCCTTCCCCGGTGCCTCCGCCCCCACTGTCGCAGTCGCCGACCCCGCTGCCGCCGCCGTCGCCGTCGCCGCCGCAGCCGTCGCCGCTGTCGTCGCCGCCGCCGCCGCTGTCGCTGCCGCAGCCGTCGCCGCTGTCGCCGCCGCCGCAGCCGTTGCCGCCACTGCCGCCGCTGCTCTCGGCCCCTGGGGGTGCTGGTGTGGAGGAGGGTGTTCGTCCTGCGGCTTCTGGGGGTGCCGCTGGTGTTGGAGGGGGTTCTCGCTCTGGGGGTGTTGGTTCTGGGGGTGCTGCTGTTGAGTGTTCTGCCGACGGTCGTTCTGCCTCTGCTGGTCCGAGAGTTCCGGCCCAGCCGTCGTCGCCGCCGCAGCAGCCGTCGCCGCCGGTTTCCGCTCTCCGCCTGCTCGGCCTTCCCTCCCCGGACCGCGCGCCGGTGTCTCCCCCACCGCCTCCTGACCTTCCTGTCTACGGTCCTGTGTTCCCGCCGCCAGACTCATCTCCGGCCCGTCTTCCTCCTCGTTCCCCTCCTGTGTCTCCTCCGCTGTCCCCTGACCCTACCCCTCCGTCTCACGTTTGGGCTCGCCGTCCCTCCCGTGCTCGTCCCGTCTCTCCTGTCCTGCCCACCCACCCTATGTTGCTCCGTTCCCACTCGTCTCGTCCTCCCCTCCTCCCGTCCCCTCCTCCCTCGTCCCTTGCTGTTGCACCTCCTCCGTTCTCTGACTACCTCCGTGCTGCTCGTCCCCTTGTCCCTCGGGTCCTTGCCTCTCTTGTTACCGACCCTGCTGTTCCTGTCTCGCGCCTTGACGCGCTTGTCGCTGCTGTCGCTGACTTCGCTTCTAC